TATTGTTTTGTCAATGATATTTTATCTGTCGATGAATATTCTAATAACAATGGGATTCAATGACAATGAAATAGAAGAGCTCGGAATGAAAATTGTTTCCAACAAAATGAAATGTCGTATTCAGCGTTTTCTAAAAAATATAGCAGATGCTGAGAATCATGTACAAGTACAAACCCAAACACATATAACTATTCACTTTCATTTGCAATAATGGTGCAAATATAAGAGACAGACAACATATGAGTAGACACGTAGACCATGTGGGCGCTAATTACCATCATGGGAAACAATCAACAATTACCTTTTGCTTGGGTTATGTGGTGGAGTGTTGCAAGGGACAGCGCCGAACTGCGTTTTGGAATGGAACTGGCCTTGCGTGATTGTAACAATGACAATGTTACCTAATTCAATACACAACCCCTTAAAAAACAATTACCTCTTGCTTGGACTAGAGGACTAATTTTTCTGTGGTGTGACTACAATACTACTACCAGAGTAACAATGAGCCAAAAAGGTGCCCTAAAACGACCTCAAGGAGTGCTTTACAATCTACATATACCACATTTACATAGTTATTTCTTGACTTTTTGCTGCAAACAGCCAGATTGAGCCGACAAACATGTGATGTCAGTTCTTAGGGAAGAGCTGAATGTGAAAGCCATCTGGGAAGCTCAGCCCTGGGGTACGCATTATGTTACCTCCTTTTACCGTCTTCCATCTGAAATGACGAAATTCAAGGTTAGAAAAGTCCGATTTCACCTTCATAGTGCTTATAGTGAAACAATGTCCATATGTGACTGTGTACAAGGGACTAACTGCACCTGTATTTTGTCACCAGGCAGTGGATGAAGGTCGCCATCAGGACCTTGCTGAGGTCGGTTCCGACGCAGAACCTGAGACCCCCACCGAACGCCATGAAATGCTTTGTTCCACCGGTGATTTCCGTCTTATCCTGCAGTCCAAGTAAAACCCGTAAGTGTTATTTCTTCAGACAGATAGGTGAGTCAAGATTCTAGACCCAAAAGTAAACACAACACATGACTTTCATATGCACTCTCGCTCACGAAGGCCATGCGTGCATGGACGCTTCTGTAAGCAGATATATATATTAATCTAGCTTCCATTTGCTTCTACCGCTATGAGACACTAGCATGGCCGCATCCTTTTTCTTTATTCCTACCTGTTCGGCTGTTCCTTATCAACAGAACAGTGAGGGTTAAGTATCATTTGACAGTATGCTGCTCTAGAAGCTGACTTGACCACGCACAAGTGGACTAATCACGTAGCACAATACAGAGGACTGAGCTTATTGTTACTGAACTTTCAGGTTCATCCCCTGTATACACTAACAGAAACTCGACTTCTGTATTTGCTTCCCAAATAAGCAGGTATTGAAATAGCACAACTTGCCACATTGATGAATTGTCGAATTGGAGTCCTAGCTAGAACCCAAACATGCTAGAGTACATTACGAGCTAGTCATGATCCCATGAAAATACAGTAAAATACTCTGTAAACTAATGTAAGCTCGTAGTGATCTAAACAATCCTATATTAGTTTACAGAGGGAGTACTATATATGATTTTGGTACATTTTTCCAATGTCCCATGCGGTTCTCTGGCAACCCTAATACTGACTAATTAGATAACCACTACACCAAGTGCACTTTGGCTTCCTCTTTTAATATATCCTTCCAAGTTACTAGACTCTATTTAACGTTTCAAGTTGGTAATAAGTTACAACTTGGGATAAATTCAGAGAGTCAAGCATTGCATGGAGTCATTGACTGAGTAGCATGAATATTGCTATTGGCTTTAATAAAAAATGGTAGCTTATATTTTGATTAGAGTGGTCAAACTTGGGGTATGATTTATAGCTGTAGTCGTTTGCATAGCACTGGGAATTGAACCTTGGAAGTTTAAGCAAACAAAACCCTGAAGCTACCTACCACCCACGGTGACACTCCGTCGATGATGGGCCATGCCGGAAGTTAGATTCAGCTCGCGTACCGCAACCCTAACGGTTCAGTTCGCTTCCAAGATGAAATGAGCTGGTTTCAGTTTGCATAAATAAAGATGAACGAGCACAAACCTGCCACCTCCATGGGTTAAACGCCAATGGGTCCTCGTAGATTTCGGGATTTAGATGCACTGCTGGAGGGCACACCATGACTGCCCACCCTGCTGGAATAGTGTAGCCTGCACCCAGAGGAGGAGAATGCAAAAAGCATTAGATTTCTTAAACTCACGCCATGAACCAAAAAGTATCTTTATTCAAACATGTCATGGAATCCACCACTCACTCAATGTACCTTTGAATTCAATGTCTTGCAAGGCCTTCCGAAAAATCCCGGGCACGATGTTGGCTATCCTTGCTATCTCCAACGTGACCTTCATGAACAAAGGATGCACAGAGGTGGGCGTGTCAGTTTCATCGGTCCTTCAGAGGCTCTAAGTAGTCTAGTGTCGTTAATTTCTTCCTCGATCTCGTTTCTTTTACTTTTTTGTTATTAAGATAATAAAACTAGTACGATATATCTTCTCTCTCGTGGACTATGCATTTGGTCACCCAGGTAGGGAACACAAAGCAAGCTACTTGCACAATCGCATTTGGTCTGTCAGGGTTCCTCAACTTTGCCACTATCGTAGTGCAGCCCTGACAGCCACTCATTAGTCACTGTTACATCGAGTCAATTTCTTAACCGTGCAATTTGCATCATAGCTTAGCTAGGTAGGTAGTCCCGGTTAGGCTCACCTGAGAGGTGAAGGTCATGGACTTGTACTCTGCCCACGTGAGGCCGGCATCCGGGTCCTTCCTGTCCCTAACAATCGCCTCATGCTCCTCCTGACCACACAAAGAGCATTATATCGTCAATTGTTATTTTGCACAAGTAGCTCGCCTAGCTAGTTCTTGCCGCTGCACACAACATCGATCGAGATCGATAGACGTAAATTCGCATGCAGTTTATACTAACTACTAACCGTTAACACCTCGAGCACCCTCGGGTTCTCGGTAATGAGCCTGATGCCTAGCGTGAGGGCCAAGGCAGTCGTCTCGAAGCTCGCGAAGAGGAGCACGAACATTAGGTCCAGCGCCACGGTCTCGGTGAGCACAGGCTTCTCCCTCCTCAGCTCCTCGATCATCACGTCGAGGAAGTCCTCACGCTGCCTCCCCTCGTCCGCCAGCCTCTCCCTCATCATCCTCTTGAGCACGGTCATGGCGTTCCTTCTCCCCTGCACAGACATGCAATTGCAGCTCCGTCAAGCGTCCCAGGAAGAGAAGAGAGAAGCTTAATTAATGGAGTGGGTTCCGTGAGAGCCGCCATTTGACTGGTCGTATGTTGACTTGACACGCATGTGCAGTTTTGTGCACTACGTACGCTGGCCAAGAAGCTTTTGTGGCTTTGTGCGTACCTTCATACACTCATGATACGCGGTGCCGGGGATGTTCACCGGGAAGGAGATAAGCCCCCGGATGAAGGCCACGAAGTTCTTCCTCAGGCTCTCGGACGACTTGGTTGGCTCGTAACCGATCAGCTTCTTCGCGGTAATGTCAAAGATCATCTGGGACAAGTAACAAACAGGAGATGCACATCAGCAATGATCTCTAGCTAATCTGACGATGTTAAATGCAGTACCACGTAGTTCATGTATAGAGCATGGTGTCTTACGGTGGAGAGGCCGTCCTTGAGCTCGACGCTCGGCTGGCCAGCCCAGGAGGCGAGGGTGGCGCGGCAGGCAGTGTCCGTGTCGCCGAGGAGCACAGCCCGGAGGTTCTCCTGGCCGTACAGGCGGAGCACGAGGGTCTTGAGGTACTTGTACATGAACCCGTGCAGGGAGCCGACGTTGTCGCGGCCAAAAATCTCGGTGAAGGTGGCTGGGTACCAGCTCTCGAACAGCTTGCCCTCCTGCTGGAACACGTAGTGGTTAAGGTCCGGGTCGGCCGACACCACCACCGCTCGGCCGACGACGCTGGTCTTGAAGATGGTACCGTACCTATGCAACACACATCCAATCAATGTCAGAGCAAGCTCAGTCTCATGCATACTTACTCCAACAGTCCAATGTGATCATGAACTGATTGGGTTTGGATGCTGGCACCGTGGTGCATAACAGTGGTGCTGCGTGGTTAGTTAACTACCCTACCTGTTCACCCTGTCCTTGACAAAGGGGGAGACGTCGCAGGTAGGATTAGGGGCGAAGAACTGCATGGTCTCGCCGAGGAGAGGGAGGCCGAGGGAGCCCGGAGGCAGCCGGCCATTCGCCTTGGGGTGGCTCCATCTGTACGCCCACAGGATGAATGCTACGGCCATGGCCAAGGCAACAACCCATAGTGCTTCCATGGACTCCAAGGTGTAACTAGAAGACTGTCAGCTACTGTATCGATCGATCCTATTAGATCAAGTCTAGGGCAATGGCGGTGCACGCGGAGGGAAGCGAGAAGAGAAGCTAGCGCAAGATATGGCTGCAACAAGTACGGGGAGCTATGTTGGGAGATCGGCTCGCTTTATATAGCGGTTTCGTCGGAAATGCCGCGGGAGGCTGCCAGGCAGGAACTTAAACAATTGGAAGGAGGAGAATTATTGCCGCAGAATCCTTCCAAGTGTGTTCTCTTTTTGACGGAGAAAAATCCTTCCAAGCTTGCGCAAGATCTGTTCTCGTGTGCTGTGGTGTTATGTTCCGACGACTGTGCTACACGCCACAGGGGGTAAGCTGTTGTGTTCTGAACTTTTGAGAGTGGTTAACACTTTCAATCTGGCCCTTGTCCGTGAGCATCATTCAGGATAAAAGCATGTCCAGCTAGCAATGTATTGGCCGGCTGTTCCCCAGACCATGAGTTGTTCTCTTGGCATCTGTTAGGTGATTACGCGAAACACTAAGCCATGCACTTAGGTTTAAAGATGGTCCATGTGTGGCCGTGTCTTCCCATTTTGCCTTTTGGTTGGACAGTAGTTATAGGTTCAATGCAGATGGCAATTAGTTCGACAGGATCAAACAGATCGGTAGGAATGCGAAGGTCTGTTGTATTAGAAAGAAATCATAGTACTTGTGAACTGTCAAGACTAGGCCCTCCCATGTAAACTCTGTGGATAAGAAACTAAGAACACCTGGCGGGGTACACAGTAGAACAGTAGAAGAAATGGGTAGAATATCCACCGGCGCACCAGAATTGTCAAATGCCGATCGACAGCGAGTCAACACTTGTTTTTGTTATCGACCGCTTTTGGCGTGTTGCTGTGAGCATCCGAGCATGCATATGCATCGATCTAGTAAGACGTCGCGATCACAAGTGCGGTAGACCCACAGCCCCCATCTATGTACGTACTGTACCAGCGAGTGTAGGCACACGTTCTTCCCTTCCG